CTGTTGCTCCCCTCACCCCCACATATGGATAGATGGACAGGAAAACATTTACCAGCTCAGAGTATCCTCTGGTTTCAAAGCCTGAAACCTCTTCAGCCACATCATGTTCCTGCCAGAGTCTGAAGACTAACAGCGTTTAGAGAGGCCACGGGTTGAGTGGAGTCACTTAGAGTGGCATGTATCTGGGTTGCTGATTTGTCAGGTGTTGCTCTGAGATTGAATCAAGAAAATTCTCAGAGTTTCAGTCCTCTTGATTTCTAATTTTTGTGATTGAGTTACAGTTGCAGAAATAGCACGAGTTGCTAATTTTTTTAAAAATATTTTTCTTTGTAAAAGTAATTCACACTGTAGAAATTTGGAAAAATATCAAAAAGCATAATGCTGAAAATTACCCATAATTCTAGTATTCAGAGATAATCACTTAGAAAACATTTTGTTATTTGTAGGCATTTTATATGCATAATTAAGATCATTGTGTATAAATTTCGATTTCTACTTTTCCCACTTCACATATGAATGTTTTCTCTTGCATCGAGAGCAGTATAGCATAGGAACTTGTATTGGTTTCCTGTGGTTGCTGTAATAAATTTCCACAAACCGCGTGGCTTAAAACAAGAGAAATTTATTCTCTAACAGTTCTGGGGGCCAGAAGTCTGAATCAAGGTAGAGGCCGGATTCTGTTGCCTCTGGAGACTCTAGGGGAGGATCAGTTTCCTGCCCCTCCCAGCTTTTGGTGACTACTGGCATTCCTTGGTACATACTCCATCTCTTCAATATCTGCCTCTTTTTCACATGCCTTTCGTGTGTGTGTGTGTGTGTGTGTGTGTGTGTGTGTGTGTGTGATTATTTCTTTTGTGTATATACTTAAGGAGGGAGGGAGAAATCTTCCTCTGTCTCTCTTATGAGGACACTTGTGATGGCATCTGGGGCCCACCAAGATAATCGAAGATGTCTCTTCATCTTAAGATCCTTAATCACATCTGTATAGACCCCTTTTCTATATAAGGTAACTTTTTTAGGTTCCAGGGTTAGGCTCTAATATCTTTGTGGCTATTATTCAGCCTACTATAAGGTTTAAGAGCATGGACTTTGGATCCAGACTGAGTGGGCTCCAATCCCAGTACTGTCTTACTAGAAGAATGACCTTGGACAAGTGTATTAACTCTCAGTTGTCTCCATTTTCTGATATGTAAAGCGGGAATAACAGCACCTACCCCATTGAGTTGGTATGAGGATTAGGAGGGTTAATCTATGTAAAGCACCTAATGATTTAGGATAGCGCCTGGCCTATGTAAGGATTAGCTGTTGTTATTGTAGTTGTTACTTTTATTAAAATTTCTTTGTAAAATGTCATTTTAATGGCTGCATAAAACTTTATGAATCTACCATAATTTATCCTTTTCTTGGCTATTAAGTTTATTTCCAGTCTTTTATGTATAACACTACTATGTATACCTTTGAGCATTCAGTTTTTGTCCCCATTTTAGATTATTCCCTACTGAAGATAGAAGGAATCACGTCAAAGGAGGTGAACGATTTCAAGCCACTTAATAAGAGTTTGCCAAATCGCATTCCAGAAAGATTGTGCCTATTAAACTAGCAGTAGTTGAATGATGAGAGTGCCCATTTTACTGTGGTCATACCTGTATCAAGTGTTATCGTTTTAAACATTTCTCAGGTGTTTCAACTTGGTCTACCTTTTAAGGCTGAAATGTAACATAGCAGAGACTCAACACAGTGGTTCCTGTAGCAAAGAATATTCGCGCAAGGCAAGAAAACTTCTAATGAGAAATGAAATCCATGCTTTGTCAAATCTCCAATTGTTTTCTCCATTCTGTTATAAACCCTAGAAGCATCCTGAGTGTTCTTGAGGGTACAAGGGGTGTTGAGGGAGAGGTTACGTTAGTAGCAGGGCAGTGCTAGGTACACAGATTTTAATTAAAAAGTTTTGTGTTTGTTCTCAAGCTTGAACATTGAAAACTCTGAACATTTTAGGGGATGAGGGAGGCACACTTGAACAGAAAACAGATCAATTTAATCATTTTACAACTAAAGCCATGTGAGGGACAGGAAAATGGAGTCAGGAAGGGGCAGCTCCTGCATTGCCTGCTAGATAAGGTGGGAGACCAGCCTTGGGAAGGGCTGTGGGAACACTCTGTGCCTGCTCTTTGCATCCCTGCCACCCGTTAGCTTCTTCTCTTTTCCAGCCCATTGCAATCTGGTCTTGCCCAGCCCAGCCCAGCCCAGTCTCTGGGCTGTAGAGGAAGATCAGGGCCCAGCTGAGTGAAAGACAGGGTGATATTTTTTTTGTTTTTTTGTTTTTTCCCTCAGTAGTGAACTGATATGGTGTACGGAGCATACCACATGCAACTGGTCATGTGAATTCAACAGTATTTAAACCAGTTGCAGTGGACTAAATGGTAGACCCAAAGGTGTGTCCGAATAATGTTAACCTGATTTAGAAAAAAGGTCTTTGTATATATAATTAAGATAAGGATTTTGAGATGAGATCAACTTGGATTATCTAGGTGGGCCCTTAATGCCATCACAAGTGTCCTTATAAGAGAGGAAGAGGGAGATGGTGGGCGTGTGTGCTCTTGCGCTCACCCTCTCACTCGCACGTGTTCTCTCTCTCTCTCTCTCTCTCTCTCTCTCTCTCTCACACACACACACACACACACATGCACGCACACATGGCAGTCAAGTGGAAGAGTAATGTGGCCACAAGCCAAGGAATGCCAACAGCCACCAGACGCTGGAAAAGGCGAGAAACAGATTTTCCCATAGAACCTCTAGAAGGAGTGTGGCCCTGCCTACACCTTGATTTTGGGCTTCTGGCCCACAGAACTGTGAAAGAATATATTTCTCTTGTTTTATGCCACCCAGTTTATGGCACCTGCAGAGAACTCATGTACCAGTCTGTGCTCTGTTTAATAAGACAGTTCCACTGATTGTATACTTGGCTATGATGATATGATCAATAGCATATGCTAGAAAAGCTTCTAAGGTTCTCTTAATTTCTGCAGTTATCTTGTGGACCAGCAGCAGAGTTGATGGATGGCACGTTGGCAGACCACCCTTTGAGTACCACTGGTCTGGTCTTCCCTTATTTTGTGGATAAGGAAACTGAGGCCCAGAGAGGAAGTAGTAGGGCTAATATTAGAGCATAGGTGCCCTTGCTGCTTGGAAAGGGTAGATGGATGTGGCACCAACTCTAAGGTGAGTGGACAGGAGAGGACTGCAGGCCACTTGGTGTCCCTGTCGCTAACCTGTTGAGTGAAAGCTGATGATCCAGTGAGCCCTTGGAGCAAGCAAGGGCCAGAAGCCAGGGGAAACTTGTAAAGCCTTTGCTGCAGCTAATGAGGCAGCAGTAGCAGGCAAAGGACCCTGTCAAGGGCAAAGGTCACAGCTCGCTGTCAACTTAATTTCTAGCTGACTGCTTCAGTCCTTGTGGTCTGGGTCATATTTTCCCTCTGCAGCCCAATTTAAACTTTCTACATTTTGTGAATGATAATTGTCTCTTAGAGAATTTGGGATTAGACTATAGTTACCTTGACTCTTATGCTGCTTGAATAAAGTCCATCCAAATTAACTTGGCATTCAGGGGCCCCTGAAGAACTTTCTTCTTTCTATCCCTTTCTCTCACTCCTCCCTTTCACATACATTAATCTCAGAACTTCACCGAAATCATCGTTCCTTAGTAGAGGGGACTTTGAAGAGATTAGGTTCTTGAAGCCCTACAGTAGTTGAGTTCATGGTTGATCAACTCGAGAACCAATGGAAAAATATGGAAAGGGGATAGTGGGCATAAATCTTTGAGGATATTAGGAAAAATATGTTTACATTTACTAAAATAGACTATAAAAGCTTCACAGACAGCTAGTACTAGTCACTAGCATGTGAGTTGACTCATCTGGTCTACCATCCAGCCCAGTTGAGCCATCAGGTAACTGTAGCCAGGTAAGTAAATCAGGCAAGACCAGAAGAAAAACTGCCTGGCTGAGCCCAGCACTAAACCATGAACAAATAAAATATTTATTGTTTAAGCCAAAAGAAAGGCAGCACAATAAATCAGGAGTTAGTACACTTCTTATTTTAGTAATGGTGGGCATTGTATAGTTACTCAGTTACTCCTTGCTTGCTGTGGATACTTTTTAGCCTCTCATCTTTGTTTTTTCAATGAAGTTCTTATTTATTTTGTTTCGTTATGGATAATGCCCATATTAGGAGTCCCTTTTCTCCAGTATCTGAATATCTTAATATTTAATACTGCTGGGATTTTATGAATTATTCATTGAGTCTATTCTGTGGGTCTCACACATCTCTCTTTCTTTCCTCTCAAAGATGGGACAGTAGTAGTACAGAAGCCCAGGTCACCTTCTCTCATCTTTTATTTTTTCCAAGGCTTTGTTTCAGAAGCCTCTTTCTTCACCCTCTTGAAACTTTTGTTTCTTTTTCTAGTCCCAACCTTGGTTCTCTTATTCTTAAATCAGTGATTTTTGGTTGCAAGGAACAGAGATGCTCTCGTGGCAGCTTAAGTTAGTAGAAGGTTCATTGTAGGAATCTCAGAAACTGCAAGAAGCAAGCTTGGCCAGCCTGCTGGGAACTGGAGCAGGAAGGCCCCTCTGACTCAGGGCTGCATGGTCCTGCTCATCGTGTGTGTGTGTGTGTGTGTGTGTGTGTGTGTGTGTGTCTGTGTGTCTGTGTGTCTGTGTCTGTCTGTCTGTCTGTCTGTCTGCCTGCTTCTCTGGACCAGAGCTCGCCACTACTTGCCTCGGTTTGCATGTCTTTATTCTCAAATGAGGGGGAGAGAGAGGGAGACAGTGTTGCTGTCACATGGCTCCCCACTCCCAACTCACTGACTTAGGATAGTCAGTGAGTTGGGAGTGGGGAGCCATGTGACAGCCCTCTCAGCATGGACAGGGGTAGTGTTCCAAAAAGGGGTGTGTGGAGGAATAGCTCCCAAACCTATTACATCTCATCTTCTGATTTCTCAACAGGAATAACTCAAGTCACCTCTTCCGAAAATTAGTTTGCTGAAGCCATTGAAACAGCCATTGAAACAGCAGTTCTTGAAGTTGAAGAAAAGGTAAATAAAAGTAAATTTGTATCTACCAAAGTTCTCTTATAAGAGAAACCCATGTTTGGGGATGGATTATTGTCTCTGTCATTCCTTAGATGTGCCTAGTTCTGTGTAATATTTTACCCCTCCTCTCTGCCTGGCCATGTTCCTTTTCATCCCACAAGGCCTTTCTCAAATGCTACCTCTCTGGAAGTGAAGCCTTTTTGATTCTCTCCTGCTGGCAGTGATGTTTCCTGCTTTTGAACCCCCATAATGCTGTCTCCTCCTTACTGACATATCATAATGGGTTTCATGTAATCATTTGTACCCCTCCTCTGATTGGTCTTCTCCCATGGTTGTATTGAGTATGGGGGCTCCTCTGTGACCTCTCCATCCTAACATTTCCACACTTGATAATAGTTGTTTGTTTGTGTGTTTTCCCAATAAGCTCTTTGAGGGCATATCTGAATTGCGCCAGGGACAAAGTAGATGCTCCATAAATGTTTATTGAATAAACAGTGAATCAGCCTCCCCAACTAGACTGTCAGTTCCTCTGTGGGTTCCCTTTGTACCTCCACCACTCCACCCTCATAGGGCCGGTACTATAAATCATTCCAAAATCAGTTCTGTTCTTTGAGCATTCATCAGAAATTGCTAATCTTCTCTAGTCGTTCTTTGTGTTTTGGCTGTTGGTGAAATGAATCTAATAGCAAAGCTTTTGTATCTGATTTTTCTTTTTCATGGGCAATTTGGCCCCATGTTAAGAGCAATAATCCAGAAGCTGGAAGGGAAGGGAGGTGACAGGCAGGTCAGGAAACTGGTGACCATGGGAGCACAGCTCCCGGCCTGCCTCTGCCTCCCTGTGGCTGGTGTTGAATGGGGATTGCGTGAGGTTGGGTTTTGGTCAGGCTGTGGCCCTTCCTGTCTGCTGGGTAGTATTCATCCGGATGATCTTCCAAGCTGCTTCATCAATGGACCAGTGCAATGTAACCCTCCTTCCTGCTGCAGACCTTTTTGTTTTAAATGAGTGAATCAGCAGGTTCCTTTTTTCAAACTGTTTACCATACCTGCTAAGTAACCCAGAGATGTTCCTTACCAATTCTATCAGTTTTGTTGGTCACCATCCTCTTAGAGGACTTGTCCCAGCCTTTCCTCCCTAGCAGTAATAGTGGTTGTCTCTCACAGTTGTAGCATCCTTCCCCGTTGATAGGGTGCTTCTACACACATCACAAGATTTTCATTTCCTGCCAATCCTAGCATATAGGCAGGGGCAAATGGTAACAACTCATTTGCAGTCAGAAAACAAGACTCAGCAGTTTAGGTATCTTGCATGATGTCACATTGCCAATGTGAATGGAGTTGGTTCTCCCCACCCCCCCACTCGCATCATCTTGGTCCTTCCTCTTGGAAGTCACTGCTGCTGTCACAAAACTCGAGAGTGCTGTCTCTCACCTGTCTCTTACACACCTCAGGTATTCCTTTCAGAGAGGGGAGCCTTGACCTTCTTCTGAGAGATGCAGTCTGACCCTGGTATTCCCCCCACCCACAGCCAGGCTGATTTCTTGAAAAATAGATATCTGTAGGTATCTTCCAACTGAGACCTTCCAGTCAGTCTTGTAAGTTTTATTTTTGTTAGGGCTTATTTAGATGCAGGAAATTCAATTAGTTTACATTAATACTGCACTGTCTTACTCTATGAATAAAGTGGAAGACACTAACGGATTTAATCTAGCTGTATTAACGATGTTCTCTCCTTCCCTTTTCCTTTAAATAATTGTAAATGGTTCTATCAATCAAGGTGGCAGAGTACAGTTCTTTATTACCATGTGGAATTGTTTAGTTAAATGTGATTTTTAAAAAATGGCTCAACTTTTAATTAAAAAGTAGATTGTTGAATGACATTTTGATTTGTCCTTTGATGGAGGAATTGTAAAATAGACTCTTCATGATAGGAAACCAGGTTCGGTCCAGAAGGAGGCATGTTAACTTAAGAGCAGGATGTGATTTCAGCGAGTCATTGTTTTCCTAAAATAGGCCATCTTCTCTGGTCATTTTGTTGAGCGAGAAACTTCCTCTGCATCTGATGCCACCTTAGATTCACATTTTTCTAGGGGAGACTCTAACTTGGAGTCCTCAAACTCGCAAGGGTGTGCCTGTCAGGGTGCAGGACTAAATACCAAGAGCCTTCTACTGGGCACTCCTTGAAAACATCAGTATCAAGAAATAAGCAAACCTATAATGATGCTTTTAATTGACAAAAATGGGCTACATTATTGTGATGTCATGCAAATTCCATTTTACTGTTAAAAGTTACTATTTTCTTAGCCCTGAAGCTGGTATCTGTGTTACTACTGAGGGTCATCATAGAAACAGCCTGCATGTGTCCTGGATAAGTTTGGCCCCATAGGGTCCACATGTGGTGCACCTCCTCTTGGCTGACACAGAAGTGGACATCAGAGCATCCCAAGAGAAGGGCAAGAAGGGTCACCGGTGAGAAAGGTCCTAGGCGTCTATCATTACATCATACCTCTGTACTTTGTACCACTTTGTATACCTTTTATAGCAGTTAGCAAACTTGGATATCTCATGGGAAACCCAGCTTAATGGGTCCAAATATTAACTTCTTCTACCACAGCCCTTTTCCGGACCTCCCTTCCTTCCATCTCAGTAAGGTGCATAGCTATTAACTCGCTTTTTCCAGCTAAAAACTGGGGCATCACTCACCTTTCTCTTACCCCAGATCAACAGGTCCTAACAATATTTCTCCTAAAGTAGATCTGGAATTCATCTGCCCTCCCACGTACACCTCCCAAGTCCAATGACATTGTCATTTGCTCCCATTAGTGCAAAAGCCTTAAATTAGCTGCCCTGCTTCCACTTTCCCTCCATTCTGTTCATCCCTTTGGACCCAGAGTGAGTTTTAAAAATACTTGTCATATCATTTCACTCCCTTGCTTAAAACTGTTAATGACCTCCTCCTGCACTTGGATATATCCTGTACTCCCAGCACAGTCCATGGAGAGACTGCCCCGTCTGGGCCCCAAACCTGGCTACAGATCCCACAGCATTGTTGGCATCCCATTGAAGTGCCTCGTAAAACACTTCTTTTTTTCCACTGTTCACTTCCTTGGCAGATTGCAGTGGCTTTGATTTTCCAAATGCAGTAAAATAACTATCAGGCTTGCAAAGGTATACTTAGAATGAATGTTGTGTTCTGGGAAATGGTACAGGGAATAATTTCTTCCTCCAAACCCTAGAATATCATCTCGTATAACACAGAGGTGGATCACTATTTCATTCGGAACCTTAATAAGTAAGTAAGCAATATGTAATCAACTAAAATTCTGATATTCGTGCTACTCCCCAAGTAGGCCTCCCCCCAAATATTTTGATATAAAAATGTGTGTGATATTTTAGCTCAGGAAATCATGATTCCAGGCTGGTAGAAATTAAGGTGGGCTTTCTATAGTGGAAAAAAGAAACACACTAAATATCAGTACACAGCTTTCCTTTTAAACACACGTTTCCTATCCTAAAACCTACTTGCTTTCATTACCTTACCCTTGAGCTTTACTTTTGTGTGTGTGTGTTTGTGGAACCATGTACACACAAACACATACCTGAAATAGAAATTCTGTCTTAGTTGAGTGATACTGTCCATTCTCCTCAGGCCTTCTATCCTAGATAATTAACGGAAATACTGAAATTCGAACTTTATTTTTGGTGCACTATAGCCTCAAATTAAGACAGCTTTTCTACGATCTTGAATTTGAAATTTTTTATGGTACCAGTTTGGCGGGTCACGCTGATGAGTTACAAGCAAAGATTGTAATAGGAATACCAGGCTGTCAGCACTGAGCTGATCAGTGGTGTGATGCCCAGTTGGAAGAATGCGCAAGAGGCCAACGTGAGAATGAAATGTCAGGCACCAACTTTATTGTGGGGAGCACACTTCTGTTGCAGGAAGTGCAGTCTATTGCAGGGAGTACAGTCTATTGCAGGGAGCAGGCTTCTCCTTCTACTCTTCTTCTGCTCTCCTTCCGCTCTCCAGGGGACCACGTGGCTCCACACGTATCAGAGTACAACAGTGGCATTCAGCCACACATATGTGATACAATAAGCTGAAGTACGTTTGCATATTTTAGGTGCAGGCGCTCTACTACACTAATTCTAAATCCGGGGTCCAATTCCTAGCCGCAAGCCTAGATCACAGCCAGACCTGGGACTAGCCAGGCCTGGGACCCACACAGACAAGGTGATCTTAATACAGTGTGCTGCACACTGTGGTGATTACCAGGTGTCATGGAGCACAGAGATGTGTCCTCATTCACTCTGGGGACTGGAAAGTCTTGAAATCCATTCAAGAATATCTGACCTTTAAGATGGGTCTTGAAAGAGGAGTTTGCCAAGTGGAAGGAATGACTGAGAGAAAGGATGTGGACAAGGGCATTTCCGACAGCTGCATGGACAGAGGCCCAGGAGGTTGGCAAGAGCATGGCATGCCCATGGAACTTCACTGAGGACTGCTGTGGCCATAGTGTTGAAGGCCTGGGGGTGGGGGCTGAAAGGCAGGCAGGGCCGGATCGTGCAGTGGAATTTTACACTGGGGAGTTACTGGATCAAATTTGTCCTTTATAGCAGGGACTCTGTATGCTCGGTCGCTATTTCTAAGGCTTCTCTCAAATGGCAGGAGAATGGTGATCTGATTCAGACACACAGGTCTTTTTATCAAACTTACAAGTTTAAGCCATCTACCAGTAATCACAAAGATGTTATTAAAAGTTTCTGAAATGTGATTGGTGTTAAATTACTGCCATGCTGGAGTTTGTGGATGACTCTGTTTCCTATTTCGTTGGGAGTCGGGCTGCCTCGACTCACAAGTTTCCAACAGCTGGCTCAAGAGTTTCCAACAGCTGGACTTTAAACATATATGAGGTTTAAATGAGTCACCCATACCTCTTTGCTAAAGATGTATACATCTCCCACATCTGCTTCTATAGTGATTCGGCTCAAGAGTTTCCAACAGC